CGTTAATGAAATTTCGTTTACGAAGTATAGCTGAACCTCCATTATACGGTGCTGCGAATAATTATATAGGTATTCCATCATGTTTCTATATTTTCCGTGACGTTAAAACAAAAAAAAATATTAAAATTTTCTTTGGAAATCTGTGAAAAATATAGTAGGTGAAAGAACATGAACTCAATATTAGTTTTAATTGCTCGTATTAGCTGGTTAGAAACACTATCGATTCAGTTCAATTTTTAGAGCTTCACTTGGGATATCTACTTAAGTGAGCTCTGGATTTTAAGTTCAAAAATATTGTCAATTGATGGCTTCTCTTTTAAGAATATCCCATATGTTACAGTGAACGTTAACGAGGGATCACTATATTGTCCTGCTAGAAAATGAACTTGTCTTTTATTAATAATATGGAATACAATAAATAGTTGTCTAAAAAACTATTAACAACCAGTAGCATTAAATCTACCATTTACAAAAGCTATTTTCAAAATTCTTTTGAACAATAGCCCAAATTGACTAATGAATAGCTACATGGCTACTTAGTATGTTGTAATGATGTTATTGGGCCCTCTTTATTCAAATATATATTGCATGTTTATTATAAATACCGATTAGAGAATTTGAACTACTATTTTCATCTTTTAAAATTAAAGTAGAGTAATTTTTAATTCCACAAAATCGTGACATTATTTCTGGATTAACTTAACGTTGAAGATAAAATATGATCGTACCAAAGAGGAAAGTTAAATTATGTTAGAATTGATTCATTTCAAAATGTTTTGTCCTGGAAAGGAATAGTGACGTTTGATTTGATAGGAGCTTGGATATGTTCATCGAAAGTGTACGCGGTGTACAGTTGTTTACGTCACGTCGCCAGCGTAATGTAAATAAGTCACGGAACGCGCCGTATCGTAATTTCGTGATCACTCGTAGGAGAGTCTGTATTACGAAAGTAATCACGATATTCGAAACGCCTGCCAACCATTGGCAGCGTCAGACTTTTATAGAGAAAGTACCGTTACACCTGTTGACGTCATACTTCTAATAAAACATAGTGACTAAGGTAGAGGTGGTGAGACGAGATAGCGAACTTCATTAAAATTCAAATAACGACGATATTATTCTGATTAGCATCTTTAACTTAATTAGCGCGGACCTGGATGTCAGTTTAATAACAGCTTATCGTCCGAACTTTCTTTCATTTTACACATCATTGCTCTCGAGTTAAGAATGTAATCCCGAGCAGCTTGTAAGATGTCTTTTAGGCGCTCGTTACACGGACGAGCGTGTAATCTACAAATTTTTTAATAGCGTGGGGTCGTGTTTAACGTCACTCTACAAAATGAAACGAAGAAAGGAAGACGCGCTTGAACACGTTTCACTTTGTAATGTGGTATTCGGAAATCGCACAAGAACCGTACAAGCAAACAAAGGTACCAAAATTTACCACAGTTTAATAAGATCGTTAAATATTTCACGTGTTTCAATCAACGAAGATTGCTAATTAATTCTGGCCACCGTCCTTCGTCTACGATTTCTCAGTGTACGGTACATTTTTCGGAGCAACAGGTCGATATCGGTATTTTGGTTTCGTAACGTTTGGGTTCTAACTGTAACCAGTTTCCTTCTTCTCTAATGCGATCTCCGCAGGATATTCATTTCCATCAAAATGTAATTTTCTCAAATCGTTGTACCAGCCCCGTAGTTTCAAATTCGTACGATGTCTATCGGGTCTTATGAAATCGAAAGAATGTCCTCGGGGACGTCGACAAATCGCCTCGATCAATTTAGGACTCGGAATTGAAACCATGAATCAAACGTCCAACAATTTCAATTATCCGGGCTGGAGAAATACCGAAACCACACGATAACCTATTTCGTGGCGCACCAGCTATAGTTTATGTCTTTTTTTCATTTACTATATCGTGGCATAAATTTCTACTTTTATTGTTCAAACGTGCTTTTGACTAACTTCAATAATCTACAAATAATTATTTCCCTTATTACAGCAAATATATTTAAGTTTATTTATTTAGATGTGAGCTTGTATATGTATATCATTACATATGATATCAGAATTAGAAATATTATGGTAAATTTAAATCTTTATGTAAATTCATATTTTTATTAATAGAATTAAAAAGAGTAGAGTAGAGGGTTGCATCAACCCTTAAATATAATAATTTATATCTTACTTTAAGTAATTTTTTTTTCTTATATTTCTGCATATTAAGTGCATTCTGTAATTTTCTAAAAATTTAAACTCCCCACATATGCATAATTTAATTTTTAATGAACTATTAAATTATAATATTTTTATCTTCTCCAGACTGACGAAGAAGCACAGTCGAAAGGAAAATATGTTTCTCAGAACTGACTTATTTTTGATTGTTCGATTAATAGGGATTTGGATGATCGAGGTTCTAGTGTAATTAGATCGTCGAATAAGCAAAGTGTCGAATAGGTAACGTTGAAGTTTTCGGCAATAAAATATCGCTGAGAAAACAAAACGAAGCGACTAAATTTGATTTATATAGACCGAGATCGTAGATCCGAGATCTGGTTTAGAAGATCTGGGTCGACGTTGCGCAAGTCGTGACGGAGGCCATCCGATGCTTCAACGCGGCGTCCGCGACCGTGTACTCGCGTTGCTCGCGATGGAACAAAAGAAGGCAAAGACGAATGGCCATTGGGGTCGCGGAGGAACGAAGAGTAATGTCACCTTTGGCGCGAAACCACGCGAGATTTCGAGTGAAAGCCGATAAGGATAACGTAACACGGCCACGGAGAAAACGTATCGAAATTTTTGGCCACCGGAGGGCCGCGAGAACGGCTTCAAAGAAAAAGTCGCACAGGCTCTCCTTTGTGTCCCTTTTTCTCTCCTCGAGACTCCTCGCTGGCGATCTTTCTACCTTGCGGACCCATATATCTTCCGTTTCTTCGAATTCTTACCTACGTCAGGTTCCACAATTGTCTCGTTTACACACTGCAATAACAGCTTATAGGCTCAAGATATTCTCGGAATCGCCACGGCGCAAAATGAAACACAAACTCGACTGGCGGCAATAATAATCGCGCGTCGGAGTCGTCAACCTGATTTTTGGGTCGAAGATTGATTCCCGAGATGTCAAAACGGTGGTTCGAAATAACGTTTCTGCTAAGAAAATGCGAGAAACTGGTATCCCGAACAATATTGTTTGTTTTTCGATATGTGCGCAAAAATGTATATATTTTGTGTATATGTTACACATCCATTTCGTGTAAACACACTGAAAATCGCTTTCGTGGAATGTGTTTTACGCACAGAAAGGTACAAAGGGGTCAAAACGGTGGAAGAAGACGAACATAGCACACTGTATGCAAAATATGTTTGTACAATGATTAAGCAGTTTATTAATATTTTGCAGTCCCACCTTTCTTCTGTAAAACTTATTTTGTTATTAACTTACAAAAATTTTTTATCACTTTTTGTACTAAATTGTAACATTCTTCGACGATTTTTAAACTCCTCGATATAAATAGGCTCCACTGATTTTCAATAATGTTCAAGTTAGGAGGAAAACTTTTATATTTTTTGGTGAAAAATAATTTTTTACGTATTTAGCAACGTGGATGGATGTGTTACATCAAAAAGTGAATCGAAATATAGAATAAAATTTGTCTATTCCAGGCTTTGTTTTCAAAGAAAACAACTTTGAAAATTTTTGGGGCACGCGATGAGTTATCTCGATACAACGGACTTTGTCGTAGCATTTTTATTCCTTGGATTTTGGAAAACAATGTAAAACAATATCGTTTGTATTGTACAGTTAAGGCAAATTATTATAACATTTGAACGATTAAAAATGTAAATTATCACACTGAAAAAGGTTTGTTAACACTTATTAGAAAGAGTACGATTAGTATAAATGGACATTTTGAGAAATATCTTACGTGATAACGTTATAACAAGTAAATTAATTAAAAAACCTGTTTTTTGTGTATATACAAAGAAATCTGGTAAATCAAGGCATCCTGGTGCGCCCCACCCGATAAATTTTCAAAGTCGTTTTTCTTCGAAACAAAGCCTCACATGACAAAATTTTATTCTACATTTTCGATTCATTTTTTCACATATAAAAGAAAAGTTGTATAAATAACAGATAAAACAAATGAGAAATTTTTTAAAGCGTGACCTGATATAATTTTTTACGATAAAACGACACGAATTTGAAACGTATTTGCGAACATTTAGTGGGATACCATATTACCCCGATGCCTCAAAGGGTAAATTTTATTGTACGTTGTCGTCGTTCGAAGATAATGTCCGTTCGGTCGTAGAACTTTGACTTGGAAGTCGTAAAGCGTGCGCGCAGCTCGATTTTCGGGAGATTATGAAACGAGGCGGAGGGACACTTGATTTTCGAGCGAGTAAATGCATTGACGCGCATGAACGGAGGTCTTGAATGGGCCTGGTCGGTGTCCACTTAGCCCTCGGGCATTAATCTCCTCGTAAACTCGATGGACCCATAAAATGCTCGGCCGCGGCAGCCATTGTCGAGCGGTGGCGTTGCACGTCTATTTTTCAGACGGTAGCCGTCGTTTAAATTTAATCCGAGATGGAGAACGATCGGAACGCACGCACGGTTTCGATTGATTTTGCTGGATCTTGTTTCATTCAGACTGCGTGTTTCCTAACACAGAATCGCTGTTGTTTCTGTGTTGTGTACGAGTATAGCGAATAACACGTTGATTGCCAGATCGAAACCATAAAATTTGTATACGAAACCAAAACTTTGATTTTAGACAATTGTAAACTACATAAATTAAATGCCTTAATACTTATTTTCGTGAACTCCTTAAAATTCATGAATCCTATTCAAAGTTATCTGTTTTAACATTTAAACTTGAGATTTCATTGTTTTGGTTTCGTAGTGAAAAGTTCTGTCGTAGTTAAAATGCAATAGTAGTAGTGGTTTTATTAAGTTTACCGCTTTTTAAGTTTAAGTTTCTCTTTGTTGCAGATTACCAGTTTCCGATAGATGTTTCTGGCGTAGCTAAGGACCACCCCTTCCTCGAGGCTGATTCTCTGCAGAGTCTATTTCGACGATTGCAGGCGCTCAATCGGTGCGCTAATATGAAAATCGACACGCATCACACCCACAGCACCAGTCATAGCAAAAGCGTGAGTAGACACTGTTTACTTTGTTCGAAAAGAAATTTGTTCTTTGACACTGTGACTGGGGAACAGATTACTGCTTTCTTGATGGATATACCATTATACTTTTGTGTGCTATTCAAAGGAGTGTTGGCACTGTAGTAGATAAAATTGCTTGGTTGCAGAGTCAAAGAATATAATTATCGTCAAAATTGATTCGTTTAATTGTAATTCTATGATTATTATCCGCGACTATTTTCAAGAAATGTAACGAAAATGTTACGTTAAGTAGGGATAAACAGTACAATGATTGGTCCTTTAAGAGTGTCGTATAAATCATGAAATATTAATTTTAATTCAGTGAATTTGAAAATAAAATCAACGTGAACAATTCTAAAAAGGTATAATAGACTAAAAATTAATAGAATTTGTACAAAAATGAACTTTTTTATTATTGTCTACATAAATTGGTCTGAGTTTCAATGAATTATTTTATTTATTTACAATCTTAATTGCTTGTGACAAATTTATAATTGCATCTAAAGCAAAAAGATACGAATTTGAATATGTCTATAGAAAATGTTATAAAATAATATTCTTTCGTTTTTAAAATATGATCAATCACTATACCGTTTATCCCTAAGTCTTTACTGAAACTTTGAATACGAGAAATTTGTACCACCTTGCATTTATATATTTCGTGTATCTAGTATCGCGATGAATAAAAATTGGAGTTTATTCGAGTTTGTTTATTTACCAACGTGCTCAGTATGTTACGTTTCGTTCTTCGTACAGACGTTTCTAAATTCCACGCGTTTTTCACGAGACGTACACGTTGTTGCTCGCTTCCGAGCAAGTCCTTTTTAAGCTATGCAAGGGACGTGGAAATCCGAAAGAGGGTCTCGAGGCGGAAATACTAGTCTAGATCTCAGGACTCAGGGTGACGTCGGGTATGGGTTTGCCGCGACGAGGGTTCTCCTTACCTAAACATTTCTTGGAATCCCACGGTTTTCAAGGATCACGTTCCGTCGAGAACTTCCGCGATTCACCGAGATTATCTGTTCTGTGCGTTTCAAGAAAAGACGATCGTTGGTATCTGAAAGGATTCGTCATCATGCGTTTTCGTTACAACGTCAGCAAACTGATCCCTCGATTTTCTAGACCCGCAAGAATCCCAAATATTCGGTTTCGACACCGAATATTCGCTCGGCGAAGAGTCACAAAATAAACAAAAATCGTACTTTTGGTTGAGGTTGTTATTTGTCGAGTTTTTTAAAAGCTCTGACAAATTTCTATCGAACTATAGAGTGTGTTAATGAATGAGAAATTTAATTATGGATATTTATTCACGATTTTAGCGATGATGTTTACGTTAATTTAATTTACAATAATTTAGAAACTAAGAATGCTGACTCCTCCCAATCTATTCTAAACATTAATTATTTTAGCTACTGGCTATGTCAAGAACAGATTTATCATTCTCTTAAATCAATGAAATATCGTTGACATTCCTAGCTAGTAATTAAGAAGAATACAATGTTTTTGACCGACACGATTGACAGAATTGTTTGCAATGGAATCTTAATAACCCCAATGTCCGCTTGGAATTTTTGACCAAATCAGATCATTATGTATGTATTTTGTGTTTGCAAGGGACCAACTTTAAAGATAACGAAGCTATCAAAATGTTTTCCAAAAATAGATTAAACGCCATAGCTGGAAAGAGCGGAATAATGATATATCTATACTATAATCTCACTTATACAGAATTATCCTTAAAACTTATAATTTCTTCATACAAAAAAAATCCCTAAGAAGTCTAAAAAATATAAAACTCTAGAATACCCCCTTAAGACTGAAATACATAGTTTTATTAAATAACACTGAAATATTTAAGACACAGAACTATCCAAATCCTTCAAAAATTAAACACATTCCCATAAAAATTTAATTTTCAATTAATTAAACGTTGAAAATTGTGTGTCTTTCGTACATTTCTGCATCGTCTAACGTCTTTGGACGGTGTCAAGTAAAATTCCAACAGCGTTTCGCCATACCTTTCTCCGTATTCTGTCAAACGTTGAAACTATTATGGTCTTCGTTATCTCGAATCTTTCTTGGGCGACTAATTGCAGGCTCGAGCTGTCGGAATTCAACGAGTTATGACGCGTTTCTAGCATGTATGGTCATTGTTATGCACGAGCTTCATCTACCTTGTGCTATTCTTACGATTTGTCTGGGGACGAATAAACGAATGGAATAACAACTAACGACTGTCACGTGACCGGGATAACACCGAAGTTAATTATCGTGGAGAGCGGTGCTAGGCGCGGTCGACCGCTATCCTGTGTTGTCCGCAGACGACTTTAAATAACAACGTGGAATTAACTTCACTTTCGTTGAATATTGCTCTACGAACCTCTGAAATTTATTTACTTTTGGTATTTAAACCTGGACCTATTTGAAAAAAATTTATCGATAAAACATTTTGTATTCGTTGAAATACGTTGGTATCTCTTTTGTTTCGTATTTCAGGATCAGTTTATCCGAAAATCGTGAAATTTTATATTACAGAATTTCTCACGGAGTTTGCTATCATTTACTATATAGTCAAATAATGCGATTGAGTAACTCGAGATATTCGAGTTTACAGGGTGAAAGTTTGTTCGTGATAAATGAAAACTATTTCCTTATTTGAGAAATGCTACACTTCATTTATCGAGAGTACGTTTGAAAATTTCTTCCTCTTCGATCGTTTTCGAGCTGTCGTGTCTAATAAAATTATTTGTTTTAACAAAAATGTGGAAAGAAATGTTTTTTATACTTGGCTCTGTTACATATTCGACTCAGAAACCAAATGGAGTATGAAGGTTCTTCTAAATACACGTATTCGGTGATTGCGTTTGGACCAAATGCATTGTAATTAAAATTAGATTTACTAGATTTTTATTCAAACCCGTTCTACTGTCAGTTACATAAAAATTCTATTTTTTCTTTTTAATTAGAACATACATTTATGTCTTTACATCAATCAAATTCAACCAAAACTGCTAACAAATAATATTCACCCGTTCTGAAACTTTAAGAATGGAATCTGACATTTGAAAATTAAGTGGCGTGCGCTCTATGAATTTTCAAAACCGATTGCCTCGTCAAGAAAGTCTTTGCGAAATGATACGGACTCGTCCAGTCGAAGGTTCTTCCGTCTTCGAGCATCCTCGAGGCGTCGCGAACGTCTAATAAAATTACATGATTTAATTTCGCGATTGCATCCAATTGACCGTGTTCATAAACTTTCATAAAAAAGCGCCCATCCGTCACAATGCGAGACGCAACCAGGAAGATTGGAGCGGAAGAATGGCGAGGAAATTGAATAATAGTACGCCCGTAATTTTTAACTTGGACCCTCGAACACCTTTTTATTCCCATTGTTTAACGCGCGTGTGTCGTTAAACTCGAATCGACGCGGAAGCGAGCCGCTTTCGATGTCACGAAACTCGTAAAGATCAATCTGTAAGAATCGTCTGTGGCTCATTATTCGACGGTGCTCGAGCAGGAAGCGTTCCAAAATTGCACAATGAGGATCCCTCGCGACGCGTTCGGATCGCAAATCACGGTTAAAAGCGTTTCGTAGCGAGCTTAAATCAATTACACGCTCTTCCCCGGGACCCCCGATACCGTCGATTAAGATCACGGGGGATCAATTCGTGAGATCTCGAACGAGAAATTACTCGGATCCATTCACGCGCCTCGCGCAACGATCGTACAAAAGAGAGGAACGCTGGCCCGATTGAATTCATTGCGATCGATCGTGATTGCCGTTTCTTTTTCTTTCTTTCTTTTTTTAGTTCTTATTCGCCCGAATGAGGACCGCGTACGTATCGATCCGCGCAATCTTGATCGCCGTGACGGTGCAAAGTAATAGATCGATCGGTTCATCCCTCGGTAAATTGTTTCGATCGTACGATCGTTTCTTCCACGCGTGACGACACGTTTTCTCGATTCAGGCGCGGCGAATAGAATGTGGAACAACGTCGTTTACATAATTTTTCATACGTCTCGAGCCAATAGTGTCGATTTTTATTTCCAACTACCTTCACCGATAGAAAATGCTTCTTTATTTTCGTATAAATACGTGTAAAATCGCAGTTGCTATTAACGTTTGCATCCTTCTTTTTCTATTGCAAAGACTGGTATTAGTAAATTCCTTTTTTTTACGTGAATAGTGTTAGATATACTGTTCAACGTTGAATCGAATTAATGATGTCTTTAAACGAATGACAAGAATTAATAGTAAGAAAGATTTTCTTGAAACTCTGTATTCTGTTATTTATATCATTATATGTAAACATCATAATTTATCTTCCAAGTTTCAGGGGTTAACAAACTCTCGATAGAATCGAATCGATGAATATTAATTTTTGTTCAGAACCATACGAGTCACATTTGTTTCCTGCATCGAAATCTATAAAGTCTCTGACCTCTATTTAAATTTACTTCGAAACCCAATGGCCTCCAACTCGAAGTTGAAAGGTACAACGCTGGTCACCGAGAAGGCACGTTTCCGGTTCTAGTTCTCTCCTTTTAAGGGTAAATGCTATAATATATTATACGCGTTGTCACAGTAGTTGTCCCAAGTTTGACGAGAAACAACGCGAAACGGGTAATAAAGTTTTCTTCCTCGTCGTTGGGCGCGAAGTCAGCTCGGTCCCGACGGATCGATAGATCATCGTGTTCGCGGAGATCGAGGACTTTCATGCCCATAAACGGTATACCAGCTTGCGTTTTACCTGCTATTAGCGCGCGCTCACACGTGCGTAGACACGCGCGCAGCTGCAACAAGTGTCGTGGCTCTCACCGGAAGCGAACGAACCGCGTTATGCGTGCCCGTGTATTTAATAAATAGAAAATGTCGCAGGCCTGTGCAAAGCGCGCGCGGCGGAGAGGAAAGGAAGCCGAAGAAAAAGAACCCGCGCGCGGGAACGTTTTTCGAGCGTGCGCAGCCCTCCCTAGATGGAGAGAAAGCA